TGTATCGTTAGAAAAAAGTATAGATCACCTCGAGAGGTGAGAAAAGAATTTCCATGAACGTATTCATTCATTTTTTTAGAATTTATGAAATTCATCTTTTGAATATTACACCAGCGGCATGTTGAAAGAAACTTCATATGGCCCCAAAGGGTCAAAAATGAGGTTCAACTGAATATCTCAAGCTACAATATTCAAGAGTGTGATCGTTAGGTTCAAATCCAAAGCCTTATAAAGAAAGATGTATCTCCCCGAAGGGGTGGAAATATCATCGATTGATAAATTCTTTGAATTAATTAACATGATGTATCACTTAATGATTCTTAAGTTTCACCAAAGAAATCCAATTTAGTTTGCAAAAATCAATTTTTTAAAATCAGGTGCGCGTGGTGGTTCTAAAATCTCGCCTACGAGCGCAAGCGCCTCGTAGTTATTACATGTCATAAGAAAAACGAGGTCTCCCTGACGCAAGACATCTCAGATTAAAAAGCAACGGCAGAACATTTTATTTTAAGATTTCTAGAATGATACCGAAAGGGAAGGTGATTTGGAATTTCAATGGGCGATTGGATCAAATTGAACACTTATTTCCGGAGTCTAACAGAGGAGGATGGTAAGGAGGTCCTTAGAGATTCTGAAGATAATTCAGAAGTGCCCAACCTAAAGCTAAGTGTTGGGGTCTTTAAATTTTTAGATTGAGGAATCTTTAGTGTTCAAGTAAAAATTTTATTAGAAAATTGGGACTTATATTCTCGCATCACATGAATTCGGAAGTAAAATGCCCAGAAAGGTGAGGGGTGAAGACTAACCTACTCAGTGGGTATGAGCCCCGTGTAAGAATCCCATCGGTTTTCTCATCGTCCGGGTTCGTCGGTATCCTGTATCGATCGCCTACTTAATCGTAGTGTTACCAGAGATCCTTGTGTAGGCAACCATGGGGGGTTACCCTCATTCGAAGGGGAACTCAATCAGGCCAAGGGCTGGGGACCTAATTCCTATGGCTAACTAAAGCAGGAAGTGCATTAGTTGTT